CCCCCCCCCCCCCCCCCCAAAAAAAAAAAAAAAAAAAAAAAATTGGCCTGAATTTGTTTAAAGAATCATGCCGTACTTCGCCACTGCCTGTTCGTCGACGGCAGCGGCTACCCTAGACGGCCAGAAATCGTGGTGGGGCGCGACAGGGAGTGGAGGGCGTACCGCTAAGTGTGCGGCCGACGAGGACGAAACTTGACTATGACCATGGCAATATCTCCTATCAAGTGTTTTCTTCGGCAGCTGCTGAATACTATGTCGTTTTTTTTTTTCTCGCACGGGCGAGGAAAAAATGGATCCCGATAAGTCGGTGGTCTTTGCGTATGACGGGGTGCCAACTCACCTAGATTTAGCCATTCCCACCGCATAGGTACACAGCTTATGCTTTCCCCCTCGACATCGTTAAAAGGGACTTAAGTTGTCTGAAAGCGACACCAAAGGCCGACATCTCGAGTCCGGAAATTCACAGGAATAAGGGCAAAGCCCTAGCAATCCCACTAGCGGAGTTCGGAAACAACAACTGCAGTGTAAAGAACACTCAATTGATTGTACAAGCGGATTAATGTTTGTCTTATCCATCCTAAGGTTGTCCAGTAATGCTATTGATGAATTGTAAACAGTGTCATAAAAATGTTAATGAATAGTGTTTGCACTTTAATGTATGTCAGTTGTCCATATTGACTTTCAAGATGGTGTTAATGACTTTGATGTTGGCATTAATAGGGTTTTCCGATATGATTGCACATTCTGCCGTTTGTATAAATTTATCGAGCTTTTGCCATAGTTTTCAACCATCACCCTAACCTACAAAATGCACAGAGTCGAATAGATATCCAAAAGTAGACAACAGTTGCGAGATGCGATGCCTTGAGACCTCCCGGCGTCACTTCCTATTTGTAGAAGAGGAGATATACAATGTTGTTCCTTTTCTGTTTATAAATTATCGTATTTTTATGGCACTCGATGAGACAATGAAAACGATTCTTATTTACGTTTGACGTAGCAAATATAGAAATACCTGCGATCCGCCGGGCCTCCCAAAGAAAATGGGAAAATCTAAGGACCGCCTGATCGCAGGTTATTGAACAAGAATTAGATATCGTGAGAGATTCCCTCCTTTCCAAGGATATCATCCAGCAAACAAAAGCAGAATTCTTTACTTTTTTCCTTGTTAGCGTATATGCCTTATCTTTTTTAAACGACTTTTAAAAACCGTTAGCACCGAGTGTGAATTTATTTGCAGCATACGTGTATCGGCCGAATGCGACTGCTAGAAGCAAATACTGCAACTGAATCCTCTTGTTTTAGAAAAAAATTACCAAGCATGTTGGTGCTCATTTATCCTTTTACGAGCCAGATATTTTGCTTAAACAATGACATCATGCAAAGATTTACTTATAGCGAAAAAAATCGAGATGACCTTTTACAGTATAATGGAATCAATTTCACATCTCGGAAAAATGGCTCGAACTTCCGCTAAATCGGAAAACCCTAATGAAAGTATATTTTTCTCTTTAATTTGTATGCCCAATGACCCCAAAGGGCTATTGAATGTTGATTAAAATGCAAAAATAGTAATTGAGTCTGATTTATGCGCAAATGATCGTATTTTCGCGCTAACGAATGTATCTTCGCACTATTGGTCGCCGTTTCACGCAAATGATTGCGTATTTTCTCGTAATGAACGGTAAAAGGTGTAATTAAGAAGATGAACACGCGGTTTACATAAGTCGTTTGGCAGATGGATTTTTAATTTATTACTTAAAATTGTCTATAAATATACTGTTACATCAGCCTCCATTCGAATCAGCACAACTTTCTCTTTGTGGCGCCAAATGGCAAGATATAACTTTTAAGTCTGCACCATTTAGGTGGAGGGAAGTTTGGTTACCGCTTATCCCTGTACCGGAGCTTAGTTAGTTCGCTATAATTCAGTCACTATATAGTACCGGTTATTTAGTTTTTCAAAGTTCTGTCTGTAACGTTTGATATAATTAATGCTTGGAAGACATATTTGTTTGCAATGAAGCAGTGATCTTGTCATTCACAAGTAATTTCTTTGCTAGCGTTAAGTTCTTTGGCCAATAAGAAGGTGGATTGGGAATATTAACAACATGGGAAGGGATTGTTTGAAAACAACAATGCAACTAGAATTCTCTCTTATTTTTCTGTCATTTTGACTGCCAATAACCAGAACACTTAATTATTAATTGATCTGTTAATTTGCATGACTGAAATTTCTTAATTTCTTATTTTTTATTAGCGGAAATTAACTTGCGGTAGAGGGAATTAGGCAACCTCAGGCATGTTAAGGCATGGGTCACCTCCTAATTTGCATAATTTGGCAAGGTGGCATTTGAAACGGATTGTTTGGATCAGTCGTCATGAAACTTAGCAAACAGTTTTAGCTCGGTGGCCTTAACAGTATGTGACATAGGCCTGGTTCAGACGCCGTACTTTTCATGTGCCGAACCTAACTGAATAAGTTCGACTTTGGACACTAGCGCGACATCTGATTCTGCCGAACTTAACGCTTTTGCCGCACCAAACTAAAACTGCCGTACCAAATTGATTCAGACGCCGCTCTTTTGCCGTACTTAATTCATCAGTTAGGTTCGGCACATGAGTGGAGCGGCGTCTGAACCGGGCCATATTCGTTGTTGGAATGTTAGTCACGTGACCTGTAAATGATAGTTAACGTTCAAACTTTTCAAATTAAAACGGGGGAAAGGAAATGAAAGAGCAGCAAATATTTTTAGGCACCAGAGTTTTTCCCATGGCTATAGCCCTGCACGTATGTCTAAGTGAAGCAAGGATTACGAAATAAGGAAAAACAGGTCACGTGACTTATAAAATACTTTAATAACTCTCAATAAAAATGCTTTAATCCACCTTGTAAGGCTAATTGACAATCCAGACAGTTTCACTGACAATTTGATGACAAGTATTTTTAGGCTGAAGTTTAACATCGCTGCCCCTTTTGAGAAAACAGATTTTGTGACGTCATGGTCTAAGGAATGTCACGTGATGCTTGGGATGAATTTTCCAAAACTATTTTAGTGAGATATCTCTTATCATATCTTTGTGGAACCCCTTACTTGGATCCGTCTGTGTCATTAAAGAGGATCTTTGCATTCTCTGTGGGGGGTCTTTTTAGCCTTTCAACCCATGCCTTAACTTCCCTGAGATGGGGAACATGTAAGTTCCCCTTCAAAGTTGGGGCTCTCTTCCTGCTGCTAAGATATAAACATCAGTTACACGTAGTTCCCTGCTCTGAGACAAAGACCCCGAAGGGAACCTTTGGAAAAAACCCCTGGACAAGTAGTATTTTTTAACCAAAAAATTACGAACCCATTCATTTGTTTCTTTCTTGTTTCAGATAATGGTCGTACACTAGAGTTCCCAGGACCTTTCTCCTTCATCAGCAAGCGTTTGCTGAACCACACCATAGGAACTAAAATTGTTGCTGATTTTGAGAACTGTAAGCTGCATTGTTACTACGAACACAACTGCGTGAGTGTCAACTATCGCGTGAGCACAAAAGCATGTGAGTTAAACAACGCTACTCATCGATGGCATAATAACGAATTCAAAGATGAAAAGGGTTATCTCTATCATGGAGCAGATGTAAGTTATTTCTAGTTAACTGCTCTCCTTTCCCTTCCCCCTTTTCCTCCTCCTCCTCCTCCTCATCATCATCCGATAATCATCATCATCATCATCAAGATCATCATCATTCATTATCTTCATCATCATTATCATCATCATCACCGTTAACATCGTTTTTCGTTCAATTTTCTTCTTCTTCTTCTTCTTCTTCTTCTTCTTCTTCTTAAGGTGAAAAGCAAAATTTCCACTGATTATATCTCTTCACTCTAATCATCCAGCTACTCATTTGCTTCATTTACTATTTTCTCTGTTTCTCTTTTAAGAATGTCTGTGAAGAGTTCCATTGTTTAAATGGAGGAACCTGTCAATCCGGATTCTCAGCAGAAAGATATCGATGTTTGTGCCCTCCTGGTTTTAGGGGTAAACGCTGTCAAAATGGTAAGAACTCAATACTAAGCAAAATAGTGTAATCAGAAAGTGCAGGAAATATTCAATGACTGGCCGAAATTTAATTTTTAGACATAGACGAGTGTACACAAGGAAATCACGAATGTGACGTTAACGCGGCATAATGTAACAATACCGACGGATCTTAAAACTATTCTTGCAATCTAGGATTCGAAGGAGACAGTTACAATTGTACTGGAATGATACTCTACGCATGTTCCACTTTTGCAACCAATATCTAAGTCTTTTTTTTTTGTTGATTTTTCTCTAACAGGTGCAACAAGCATTAGAAGCATACGCATTCTTTCAACCACAAATTAAATCATTTTGCTACGCAATTTCTCCAGTGGGACTTAAACTGATGATCAGGCATTTCTTTTTTTTTTCTTCGAGGGCGACAAAACATTAAGAGATATAGGGAGGGCATGTTCGCAAGCTAAAAAGAATTGATTATGCTATATATATCTATTATATAGAATGACGTATTGATGCTAATTTCCCCTGTTTACTGCCAGTTTATTGTCATTTTATTTCAGATATAGACGAATGTAACACAGATTTTAAAACCTGTCACCAGAAAGCTCTGTGCCATAATACCCAAGGATCATTCACTTGCTCCTGTAAGCCAGGGTACGAAGGAGATGGATACAATTGTACAGGTAAAATTCTTTGGCTTTTTTAAAATCCATTTAAAACATTTCGCCTCGGTTTGAGAGGTGACTGATGTCATATTCTGAAATCACTGCGAGAAAGGAAATGTGTTTTAACCGTAAACTATATAGTTATATTATACTGGTGGTTATAATTGACTAGCTGTTAGTTCAGGTAGAATAAATTTAATATTTACTAAAATTATCACTCAGACGAAGAAGAATGCCTGAACAACTCTCACAACTGTAGCGAAAATGCTACCTGCACCAACATCGAAGGGTCCTTCAACTGTAGTTGCAAACCAGGGTTCATTGGAAATGGCCACAACTGTTCAGGTTGGTTCTTGAAATTCCTGTCCCGCTTTCCGTTAGTTTTGACACTACTAATTTAGTAAAAAAAAAAAAAGTAAATGTTCAGCGATGTACTACTATAATTAATGCAGCAAATTATAGAAAATTTTCACTCGCTCTTTTTAAAATAATTATATTTACTTATTCAATTATTATTTACTTACTTATTCAAATCTAGCATCTCTGAGTCGTCACGTATTGTGGATAAAGTCAGAGCTCATCTCTAAATATTTGCGACATCATGGAAAATACACCCTCGGATAACTCTTAAACAACGCGGAAAAACAAGAGGGAGTAACTTTAACCCGCTTTTCTGTACTACGACTGGAGTAAGATATCAAGATGGTTGACTGAGATAAACAGTATGCATTAATGCATGATCGTACTACTTCTTTAATTGGAAAAAGAGAGATCCGGAACAGCTTTTTCTAGTCTTGGAGGGTGGCGTAGTGAGCGAAAAAAATTCTGAAGTTATTCTCAGTCACCCAATAAACAGTAGTTACGCTTTTACAAAAAAACGCTTGCTCAATTTTACTCTGGACAGAAATATTATGGTTCATAATGCGACCAATATTCCTGCCAAGTCAGTAAAACAGACATTTTGAGAAAGGGAATGTGTTTTAACCGTAAACTACGGTTAAAACACTTTCCCTTTCCTAAAATATCTGTTTTACTGACAGACTGGTCACTATATTGTCTACCTGTTTGTTCAGTTAGAATAAATTTAACATTTACTAAAATTATCACTCAGACGCAGACGAATGCCTACACAACTCTCACAATTGTAGCGAAAATGCCACCTGTACCAACACCGAAGGTTCCTTCAACTGTAGTTGCAAACCAGGGTACATTAGAAATGGCAACAACTGTTCAGGTTGGTTCAGTCTTGGAATTGCTGTCTCGCTTTCCGTTAGTTTTTAGACTTCTGGTTCAGTACAAAAAGGGTTAATGTTCAGTAATGACTAATATTTTTAGTAAATTGAATTAAATTATAAGAAATTGTTACTCGCTCTTTTTATAATACTTTCATTTATTTATTCATTTTTTATTTACTTACTTCTTCAAATCTAACATCTCAGTCGTCACGACTATTGTCGGGATAACGTCAGAGCTCTGATCTCTAAATATTTGCATCATCATGTAAAATACATCCTTGGATAACTCTTAAGGAGTAACTATTAACCCCCAGTAGTTAGTAAAATGGCATATCTGGCGCACTTCACAAATTTTAAAAAATCCAAGAATTCTAACAAAATCCCTGAATACGCAAAAGACTATAAAAATGAATGGCTTTACATAAGAGGTATTAATAGGAAGTGTTGGGAGTTTATGAAATTTCTTGGAGATAATACAGATTGTTTTGAAAAAGTTTTTTGGTCTTCAAGAGCAAGAGCACTTATTAGAGACTTTAAAAATGTTTTGGAGGCTCAAAAAGTGGGGAAACTTAAAAATATTAGTAAATTAAAGTTTAAATTAAGTGTTGTTGAGAAAATAATTGATTTAAGAATTGACCTATATTTTCATATGGGAAACACTTTTTATTCTGACTTTTTTGCAGATGATTTATTTCAAGATTTTTTTGAGAATTTTATAATCTTTACTAACAATGTTAACATTAAATATGAAGAAGATTTTGAAGATGATCTTTATGAAGAATATATTGGTAAATTAGATGAAGAAATTCAAATAGAAAGAGAAAGAGAAGATATGCAAAGAATTTTAAATGAAATTTTAATAGGAGATGAAAGTGAAAGTGAAAGTGATTAAAAAACTTAAAATTTTATAAACTTTTAACATTTTTGTTACAAGTTTTAATTTATAAGTAAGTATAAGACTAATATAATCAATTAATAAAAATGGAACCAAGATCAAGAGAGACTACTCCTACAAAAGAGGATTTAGATTTTATAGTTGATGATGGTTATAGACATGATGAAGATCCAGATTATATTCCAAACAAAAAATTTATTCTTAAAGGACCAGAGTTTAAGAGATTAACCAGAAACGCTAAAAAACTTGGTGCAGAAACACTTGATTATTCAAACCGGAAAAATAACAAATACATGGCTACACTTCCAGGTGGAAAGAAAGTACACTTTGGTTCACCAAAATACCCAGACTACACTATTCATAAAGATAAAGAGCGAAGAGATAAATATTTGTCTCGAGCTACAAAGATAAAAAATAAACAGGGAGAATTAACTTATACTAATCCAGAATCGAGTAACTATTGGTCAGTTCATTTACTTTGGCCTAAAAAATAAAATTGAATTGTTATTTAAAGATTAAATAAATATTAATAAAATGCAACTGTCCAGCTACGAAAATATTACCCAAGAGAATATTATCTTTAATGAAGCCAAAGAGTACAAAGTCAAAGATAGCAAAATCAAATACAAACGTATTCCAATTGAAGTCAAATATACAAATAACAAAAAAGGACCACTTGTAGTTGAATCTCCAGTTCTTTTCAGTTTTGGTGTTAATGAAAAGAAAAATCAAGAAACAGGTAAGTTAGTTGGTTATAGTATTCCAGTATGTCTTTGGGCTAAAGATAGTGAACCTAGTAATAAAGAAAAAGCATTTTTTGATGTTATTAATAATATAAAAACTCTATCTCAACAACATTTAGAGAATGAATACGGAGCAGATTTAGCATCAAGTTTGTCTTCTCCATTTTACTATAAACAAATAGAATACACAGACAAGAAAGGAAAAAAGAGAACAAAAGTTGATGAATCATCAGCGCCAATTCTTTATGCAAAACTGATTTACTCTGAGAAATCAAAAAAAATTCTTTCACTATTTAAAACAAAAGGAAAGAAGGATTTAAATCCTTTCAAATATATTAATCAGTACTGCAATGTTAAAATGGCATTAATAATCGAAGGAATATTTATTAGTAAGACTGTAACATCTTTGCAAATAAAAGTACATGAGTGCTATATCAAACCATTAAAACCTAGGGAATCTTTACTTACAATTGAAGAGGGAGAGAGTGAGGGTGAAGAGATAAATGATCAAGTAGTTGAAGACTTACTTTCATCTGATAAAGAAGATGAGTAAATAATAGGATTTTATTTTTAATACAAATATTGTATTAAAAATCAACCAAATCCTTCAAACTCACCCACGAGTTAAATTTATCAGGATATCCAATCCATTTTACTAATGCCATTTTCTTTTTATTATCCCTCCTGATTATTTTTTCTATTCTAAATGTTTGTTGTTTTGCTTTCTGTAATTCTTGTTCATAAAAAGAACCCTTGATCTCTTCTCCCATCAAATCAACAATACTATATGTAATAGGTTTTGTTGGTAAAACTTTATCAATTACAAATATCTCCTCTGTCCAGTTTGGTGTGTAACCTTTATCAAATACTCGCCTCTTATATTTTGAAATTCTAACACGATCTCCAATAGAAAACTTTGATTTACCAGGTTTTAAGTAAATTAAATCACCATACAAATTATTCCAAACTTTACGCTCATTTTTATTTTTACTAGCTTCAACAGGTGACATTTTAATGCTAGAGTGTCTCGCATTATTATAGTCATAAACTAGTTTATCTATCTTATCCCAGTAAACAGTGTTGTTATTCACAGTAAACATCTTCCACATTCTGTTTTTCATTGTTTTATTCCATCGCTCAACAACACTAGATTTCTCTTCATTTTCAGTGTGATACAACTTGATACCCTTTCTTTTTAAAAAATCTTTGAAATGTTTACTGATAAACTCAGAACCTTTATCAGTCCATAACATTTGAGGTTTACTTTTGAATATGTCATCAAATGCTTTACTAACAGTTTCAGTTTTTTTATCTTTCAAACCTCTAATCCATCCATATTTGCTAAACACATCAATAACCATCAAGAGATACTTTATTCCTTTATTCCAATTACTAAACTTTTGCATTTCAACTAAATCAGCAGCCCAGATATCATCAATCCCGTTTGAGATTACTGATCTCTTTTGAAAGTTTCGTGTGATTGGTTTGTGAAGTTCGTCGGCTAATTGTTGAGACCAATCACTACTCAACGCCGCTTTACGTTTTTTGATCCCATTCCAAGTTTTTGTTTAGTATTAATTATTGTTCTAGCTAAAGTATGCCCCCACTGCCTTTCTGTCCAAGGAATTGCATCTAACGATTTTACCATCTTTTTGTCAGCTTTATTTTTACACTTTCGGTTATCACCACAAACACTATAATCAACATCATGTTGCATGGCCACGGCATCAGTTGGTCCAGTTGGTTGATCATAAATTTCTAATATTTCACCAGTTTCCGGATTGTATCTTACTTGGTTTTCGAGATCATTATAAGGACCTGTATATTTATGCCCCGGTAAGGTCCATCCACCTTTTGGTTTTGGTAATTTACCAATCTGCTTGTGAATATCTATTCCTCTCCCATCTAATTCTGGTCTATCAGTTTTATATTTCTTTTTGGGTCTAACTTTTGTTGATAACTGGTCCATGGCTGTTCCAACGGAATCTTGAATAAATGGAGTGAGTTTACTGATTCCATAATTTACAGCTTTCTTCTGAAGATTTTTATTTCTCATTAACTCACTTGCTCCATATCGCCCCATTTCAACTGCTTTTTTACCCATCCAAGGTAAACCGTAATGAACAAATCCATCAACTGCTGTACCAACAACAGTATCAAAGACGCCCGCCCCTTCAGACGGGCTGTTTAGTTTTTTGACTTTCGTTTTTTCTTTTTACCACTTCCACTTTGAGAAGCTGATCCAGTTTTCACATATCTAACTTTTTTGTTTCCACAAACTGCGCATCTACAATAAAATTGAGTTTTACCTCTTTTATCTTTTTGGTAACCACTTGGCTCTGTGCAAGGAGTTACTCTTTTATCTACAATGCAATATGATTCTACCATTTAATATAATGTTTAGATAAATAACAAATATTTACTTTTCATACCAGCGTCCACAAAACGGGGACGGTGGCTAAAAGTTATTACAGCGTACCCAAAACGCCCCCTTTATCATTTCAATTATGAATGATAAAGGGGCCGTCGAAACGACGGGTCCAGGTCTTTATCTATTTATATAATAAATGGAAGCCAAATTCTTTTCTGAGATAGAAAAAAAAATGGATGTTAAAACACTCAAAGATTTTGAGAAAGAATTAAGAAAAAAAATAGTAAACGAGTTTGAAACTCTTAGAAAGAGTAATGATGATCTTTCTAGAATACTAATGGCTGGTGAATGTGAGATGTGGGGAAAAATTCGAAATGAGGAATATTCTTGGTTGAAATTAGATAGTGATAAAAAAAATAAACTTTATAGACTTATTGATATTTATTTGAAATTTGATGAAATAGTTGATAGTGTTAAAGATTTAAATAAAAAAGTTGAGGATGTTAAAAAACTAAAGAATTTGCCAGATGATAGTGAATAAAACTAATTTAAAGAATACAATTATTATATAAATGACAAACATGTTGGAGAAAAAGTTTGTTAATAACGAATTAGGAATCGAAATTAATTCTTATATTGACAAACAGCAAAATGTTTGGTTTCGTGGAAAGGATGTTGCTGAGATTCTTGGATTTAAGGATAGTGTAAATGCTTTAAAGAGACATGTATCATTAGAAAACAAAATGATACAACTTATACAACCAAAAACTAGGGGTGGCGTTTCGCCACCTCAACAAAATGAAACTAGGGGTGGCGTTTCGCCACCTCAACAAAATGAAACTAGGGGTGGCGTTTCGCCACCTCAACAAAATGAAACTAGGGGTGGCGTTTCGCCACCTCAACAAAATGACACCAAAGTAAAATGTTGCCCCGGTAAAACGGCGGGTCAACAAAGTAAAAGTGTTGGGGGTGTTAAAACGACTCCTCAACAAAGTAAAAGTGTTGGGGGCCCTGAAACAGGGCGTCAACAAAATGTTGTAAAAAGTAGGGGTCGTGAAACGCGACCCCAACAAAATGACACCAGAGGAAAATATTGTACATTTATAAATGAACCCGGATTTTACGAACTTGTATTTGGTTCTAAATTAGAAACTGCTAAAAAGTTTCGTCAGTGGGTATTTAATACGGTTCTTCCATCTATCCGTAAATATGGCCAGTACAAAATGTTTGATAGTCCTTGGAATAAGATGATAATGATTGGTAATGAGACAGACCTTCACTACAAAGTAGTTCAACTAATTAGAAATTATTATCCAGATTCTATATTAGTAGCTGGATTGGGAGAGAATCAAGATACAGAGGAAAAAAGACTAGATTCCTATAAGAAAGGTTATCAACGAGGACAACCAGATCTAATGATTCTAGATTATCACAGGGAATATAAAGGTCTCTGTATCGAATTCAAATCACCAACTAACAATTACTGTGTAACAGAATATCAACTGAAGATGAAAGAAAAGTATCGTGATAACGATTACGCATTTATTCTAAGTAATGATTACGATAAGATTAGCAAACTTATTCATAAATATATGGCTGGTGTTCGTATTATTTGTAAATACTGTCCAAAAGCATTTCGTAACAAAAAAACGCTAAATAAACATTACAAGGTTATTCATAGAATTGAGAAAAATATTTAATTTTTGATATTATTTTTAATATCAAAAATATACTACCCCCCAAAGTATGCTTTTATAAAATCACTGTTGTCATCATCAAAATGTGGATTATGTATTACATCAAGAATACCAGTTCCACGCTGTCTTTCAAAAAGATAATACAAACACCAATAACCACAGAGAACAGTACTACGATTTTGTATTTCATCTGTTGAGTAAACTATACGTTTTCCAGAAGTATGAAAATACTCTAATGCTTCATTTGGCATTATCAACCCAAATGGATCAAAGTACTCAACTACATTGTCTATATTTCTATAACAAACCCAATGTGTTCCAGGACCTGTTATATCATCTAGATTAATTATTCCGCATTCTTTTTTTATCTTATGGGGTAGTCCATCCCTACTGTAAATTCCTCTAAAATGTTTAATACCAAGTCTTTTTATCCATTTCATGAGGTCAAAGTTGGATAGAGGTTTAATTACAAAATGGTGCCGAGAATGGGAATTGAGTTGAATGGGCTGTTTTTTCCTAGTATTAGTCCTTTCCCCCTGGATTTGGACTTTTTTTTTTAACCCCCATTCCAATTGGGTTTTCCCAAGTACCTAAAAAAGGTGGAGGGTAATAAGGATAACCTTCACCATGTGTTGGTGGGGGAGGAGGAGGTGGAACGTAAACATTTGATGTATTAGATGATCCACGTCTATCAACCTGCAGTCCAGATCCAAACATC